TCAATGTAATTATATGTATCTTAAGTTTAGAACTACATTGATCGCTTATGGCGTTCAAGGTACAATTTACTGCAACAAATATAGTTAATCACGACTATAATGATTGTAACAATTTAATAGTAAATACAACTAATGAAGATACACGTGATACTCGCAAGAAATAAGAAGGCGGCGTTACACACACTAATTTTTACGGAATCAAGTGGACAAAAAGGAATTTCTTTGGAGTTTTTGGATAGAAAAAATACTTTCAAGGGGTTTTTTGACATTTACTAAAAATAAACACATGCCTAGCTAAAAACGAGTGTATACACTGCTTTCTCAAAATTGAATAATATTTAATTTTGGATAGAAAAAATACTTTCAAGGGATTATGTGGACACTGATGTAAGATCTTTCCAACTGCATTTCCGTGACTAGTGGCTCATATATCATCTCAGAGATTCTCAATTATTACATTCTTCCTTGCCTTGAAAGACTACACAAACTTCTTGTAGAAAGTATCCACTTCCAAGCTGACTTCACAAAACCGAGCTCAACATATATTTTACTTATGATGTGGATCAATCCGACCTTAATCACCTCGGAGGTCGGTGTCAACATATTTATTTTTATTAATTAGTCCATTTATGTGATTTTTATTCTATGAAATTTGCAAATTATTTTTGCTCCGCCCTATTTTTCTTTAATTTTCTCCTTCTACGAATTCCATCAACCAGTAATTATTTTCCTAAAATCATTTTTTACTGTCAGGTTTGTTTATATGATTTTTATTTTATTTAACTCAATTTATTTTTTATTTATTCATTTTGTTAATTATTTTTTCTAGGAATTTGTTTGATTTTTCTTCTAAAAATTCATCCACCTCAATGTTTTCTTCTACATTTTTTGGGATTTATTTTCCTGTTTTTCACGATAAAATGAAATTTTAGTTTCTTCTTGATGGGATGGAGAATCATAGAGCGGACATAGAGTCATTTCAAGCATAAGGCTACTTGGGTGATCGTTTGTGATCTCGTTTTATGATAATGTCAAAAACTACGGAAATAATATAAACGCAAAAACAAAATTGAATGGACTGTGGATGGGTAATATCATGCAAATATTATTGAGCAATCGGCAACCTCTTATTTTTCAGTAAGCAAATAGTAATCGAAAGTAAATGTTATTTAATTTTAAGTGAGCAAGTAGTAATCAAAGATAGATGTTATTGATCCCTCATTTAATTAACTTTTATACTCTAACTCAATTATCAAGACCATGCTATAATAATATTTTTGGAATCTGGTGGACAAATGGGAATTTCTTTGGAGTTTTTGAATAGAAAAAATACTTTCACAGGATTTTTTGACATTTACTAAAACAAGCACATACATGGCCAAAATCTCATCCTTTTTGCAATTATGTAAGGGGTTCACTCTATCAAAGCCCACTGTATTTTATATTTAGTGTTATCGTGACTATCCAATTTAATTTTGATTCATCATGGCAACTATACTTTATATTTAGTGCACCACAACTATTCAAATTGATTTTGATTTACCATGATAATCCAACTTTATATAACGTTTCAATTAAATCAGTTGATTATTACCCCCAACAAAAAAATCACACACCACACATAATTATTGCCACAAAAAAGGATGAGAATCAAGATAAAAAAAAAATAAAAAACACACAACATGGCAATCATTACAAAAACTTTAAAAAAAAATGTGTATATATATAATACAGAAATGATCTAATGAGCACCGGTGCTCATCTTATCCTAAACACCAATGAGTTGGCACATTAATTCATTGGTGGATTGGAACTCACAAAATCTTTATCCACCAATGAATTAATGTGCCAACTCATCGGTGCTTAGGATAAGATGAG